AATAAAGAGGTTAAGCAGAGAAATACCATAAGATTCAGAATTTAAAATATCTACTACACATTTGTACATGGTTGGTATTAACAATGACAAATATTCACAATTTCACAATAGCAAAAAGATGCAAACAACTTAAATGTCAAAAGATTAGTTAATGTCATTTTAAATAAAATTTCCAGAATAGGTAAATTGTTAGAGACAAAAGCAGATTGGTGGTAGCCAGGGACTGAGAGAACGGGGCTAAGGAAGGACTTCTTAAGGCGTGAAAGTTTTTCTTTTGGGGTAATTTATTAAACAGTATTGAATCCACATAGCACTAATGGTCCACAATAACGTGAATATACTACTGCCACCGCCAGTTACCACCATTGTCTGTCAGTTTGTGGTGTCTTGTTGTGATGCTAGAAGATATGTCACTGGGGTTTCAAATGCCAGCAGGGTCACCCAAAATGAACAGGTTTCAGCAGGGCTTCCAAACTAAGAACAGACAATGAAGAAGGTCTCCGCTGCCGACTTTGGAATAAGCAGCCCTGAAAATCTTAGGCATAGTTTCCAAACATTGTCAGATACTGAAGGCCTACTGAGTGGAGCAGAGCACTGTCCAAGTCAGTGCCTGAAGGACGGGTCTCTTGGCTGGAGGGCACTGGAAAGGACCAGGGAAGAGCAGATTTCTCCCAGTGGAGTGGACCATAGTGACAGAAGTTGGTAGAGCTTGTGAGAGTGGACCCTTCAGGAGCTTCATTTCCTCATGGGACAAACAGCTGCAAAAATCTCTTCATGATCTGAACTTGGAATGTATGAAGTATAAACCTGGGATACCTGGAAGTTATCAAAAATGTATCGGAACACATGAAGTTAAAAATCTAGGCATTCGTGAGCTGGGATGGACTGGTGCAGGCCACTTTGAATCAGAAAGTCATTCAATTTCCTATGCCAGGAATAACACAATCAAGAGGAATGGCATGGAATTCATTGTCAAAAAGGAAATTGCAAATTCAACCATTAATTACAATCCTGTGATAGAATTATATCTATCCACCTTTGAAGGAATCCAGAAAACATAACTATTATTCAAAATTTTTCACCCACCACAAAAGATAGCGATGAAGGAATTGAAGAATTCTATCAATGAATTCAGTTGTAAATTAATCACAGAGGAAATCCAGATGCATTGATAATTACAGGCGATAGAAATGAAAATGTTACAGCGAAGGAACGGTAGGTGGAAAATATGGACTTAGTGATAGAAATGAAGCTGGGGATCACACGATAGAAGTTTTCAAGACTAATGACTTCTTCAGCAAATACAGTTTTTCAACAACACTAACCGTGACTATTCACATGAATTTCTCCAGATGGAATGCACAGCAATCAAATTGACTACATCTGTGGGAAGAGATGACTAGTGGCTGACTGGAAATGGTGACTGGGCAGGTGATGACATGCTAGTGTGAGAGTTGAGGTTAAAGATGGAGAAAATTTTTTAAAATCCACAAAGCCAAAATACCACCTTGAGTCTATCCCACCTGAATTTTTACATCTCAAGAACAGATTTGCATTACTGAACACTAATGACAGAAGACCTGATGAGCTATGGGAAGACATTAGGAATATCATTCATGAAAAAAAAAGGTCATAAAAATGGAGAAAAGAAAGAAAAGAGCAAACTGTATGTCACAAGAGATCCTGGACCTTGCTCTAAATCATAGAGTAGCTATGGCAAATGGGGGGAAAATGGTGATGCCAGAGAGCTGAATAGAACATTTCAAAGGGCAGCTCAAGAAGACAAAGTCAAATATTATAATAAAACCTGCAAAGACCTATCATTAGAAAACTAAAAAGGAAGAACACATTCAGCGTGACTTAAACCAAAAAAATTCAATGAAAAATTCAAGCCTTAAGTTGAAAAATGGAAAGATTCTATGGACAAAATATAATGCAGGAAGCATCAAAAGAAGATGGAAAGAATTTAGAGTCCCTAGTCAACACACCACCCTTTCAAGAGGTAGCATATGAGCAAGAATCAATAGTACTTAAGGACACAATGCAAGCTGCACTGAAAGCATTGGGCAAAAACAAGACTACAAGAATGGATGGGATCCCAATTGAAATGTCTCAAAAAGTTGCTGAAGCACTGGAGGCATTCACTTGTCTACGTCAGGAAATTGGGAAGACAGCTACTTGGCTAACTAATTGGAAGGGACCCACATTTGTACCCATTCCAAAGAAAGTGGACCCAACAGGATGCTTAAATTATAGAACAATATCACTGAAATCACATGCCAGTAAAAATTTGCTGAAGATCATCCAACAAGGGCTGTAACAATGCATTGACAGGGAGCTGCCAGAGGTTCAGGCCAGATTCAGAAGAGGATATGCAACAGGGATATCATTGTTGATGTCAGATGAATCTTGCCTGAAAGCAGAGAATACTAGAAAGATATTTGCTTGTGTTTTGTTGACTATCTTAAGGCATTTGATTTTGTGGATCATAAGAAGTAATGGATAACCTTGAGAAGAATGGAATTCCAAAATACTTCACTATGCTCTTGTAGAACTTGTACGTGTATCAAGAGGCACTGGTGCGAAGAGAACATTGGAATACTGCAGGGTTTAAAATCAGGAAAGGTGTTTCTGCAGAGTTGTATCCTCTCACCATAATTATGCTGAACAAATGATCAGAGAAGCTGGTTTATATGAAGGAGAATGTGGCACCAGAATTGGACAAAGGCTGCTTAACAACCTGTGATGTTCAGGTTGGTCACTGAAAATGAGGAGGACTTGAAGCACTTACTGATGAAGATCAAGGATTGAAGCCTTCAGGATGGGTCACAACTCAATGTAAAAAAAGACCAAAATCCTGACCAAGGGACCAATCGGTAGCATCATAATAAATGGAGAAAAGTTTGAATTTGTTAAGGATTTATTCATGCTTTGGTCCACAACCATGATCATGGTAGCAGTAGTCAAGAGATCAAATGACACACTGCATTCGGTAAATCTCTTGCACAAGACCTCTTTAAAGTATTGAAAAGCAAGGCTGATCCCTAAAGTACCCCATACCCAACTCATGGTATTTTCAATTGCCTTATATTCATGTGAAAGTTGGTCTTTGATTAGAGAAGACTGAAGAATAATTCATGGATTTGAAGTGTGGTGCTGGCGAAGAGCAGTGAAAGTGCCCTGGACTGCTCGAAGGACAAACCGATCCGTCTTTTAAGCAGTGTAGTCAGAGTGCCCCTTGAAGGCAAGAATGATGACTTCACCGTACATCCTTTGGACATCCTGTCAGGGGGGACCAAAGAACATCGCGCTTGGTAAGGTAGAGTGGCAGGTAAAAAAGAAGGCCCTCAAGGAGATGTATCGACACTGAGGCTGCAATAATGGCTGAAGCATAAGGTTTTGGGGGGTCAGAACTGACTTGATAGTACCTACAACAACAAATTCCTTTATAATTCACATTAGTGGCTCTAAGACAACAGGGTGAAAGTCTCAAAGGTTTTAATTATTTCACTTAAATAGGAGTTGATATTAGTAGTAGTAGTAGTATTTGCATTCTAATCATCTTCCAAATTGAGCTGTATATTCTTTTCACTTCAAACAATCTCAAATTCCCCAGTTTAAGTGATATAGTAGAAATTATACCTTTATTATGTTATACTTTGGCTCTTAATATCCAGAGATGTTTTAATCATTTAGGAAAGAGTTAGATAATTAAACTGGCTCTGGTAAAGTGTTGTAAGACTTCGTGACATCATTAAATGTGAAATAGCACACAGATTCCTCTTTCTTATTTCATTTCTCAAATTCACAGAGTTGTTGCCTTGTTACATGACCAATATATTTTAAATGATAATAGAAAATTCATTTAAAATTCTAGGATCATTGAGGGGAAAACACTCAGATATTTTATTTCTTCTTTTCTTAAATTCAACAGAACGTTCAAGCTTTTATATGCCTAATCACTTTCAAATGATTATAAGAAGTATCTTATTACTAATTGCTGAAATAAAATCTGCCACTAAAATTTATAGGAAAGGTCAAGGTAGTCCTTATAGCATATCATTTCAGCTAGGAAGGTATAATATTTAAACAACTCATATTTGTGATTACATATCTTCATAAATATATAATAGATTTAATGAATAACTCACAATATACATTGGTCTTTGAATCAAGATATTCAGAGTACAATTTGAAATATTATCCAAGTTTCTTAATCAACTGATAGAGTAGCATTTGAAAGAAAGGATTCCTATAATATTCCATACTGGTAGAATAAAAGCACATCTTTTTACACAGCTCTTTAAATGTATTTTACGCAGGGGCTAAGCCGACAAAATGTCAGGGTGCCTGTAAGGAGAAGCATGCTGTTGACTGGCCGGCTGACTCCAAGGCTGAGCAACTAAAACACACCAGGAAGGTTCTTGTGGTTTTGTTATCATAAGTCAAGTCCATCTTTCACCATCTCCATGAACTCATCCAGGGAGGACTAAGGAACTCTAGAAGCCAGACTTCTTAGTACAAAAAGTGAAAAACATGTACTGCGTCTGAAATTTTTCCTTTAAAAATAACAATTTCTCCAGTACCATTTCCTCTATGTCTGTTAGTATTCTTGGTTTGTCTGGTTCCTTCACCCCATGCCACTTTCCTTTTATTTTGTGCTGTCCAGATCTAGATAAAGAGGAGATTAATTTCTTAAAAATTCTCTTTAATCCATCTCTATTTCTTTATCTGCCCTGTAACAGCTTTGAAATGAGCCCATTACAGGGCGATTTTGTACTGGATAGAGTGACTTAATTTGACATTATCTGGGTTGACCTGACATAAGCAAACTAGCTTATCTGCAGCTATGTGCCACAGAGCTTGGCTTCTCTTCATATTGATCAACAACTCATTCTTAGTCAATCAACATTTAGACTTGCAACCACAGCATGCATTCTGTTCTCCCACATTAGTCCTTTAGCTTACTTTATTCTTAAGTCAGCGAAAGATCAACTTACCTGACATGTTCTATATCCTGTGTCTGCTGTTTGAAATGCCATATCTTTTGCCATTGCATAGTATTTTATCTCTGCCTCCGCTTTAACAGTTCCATCACCGTAGACATTTACTCTGACAGAGCCAGCAGGAAAATCTTATAAAACACAAACAGCAGTTGAGAGCTGGATGGATAATTCATTTGTCATATTATTATATCTCCTAGAGGATATGAATGAATGCTTTAACAAATCAAAAAGAAAGAGTAAGATATACGAATATATGCTAACATGAAAATAAAAGCTAAAGATTAACTACTTTCCCACTACTTAGGAAATTTTTTAAATGATCTATAATCATCTTTTTGTGATTAAGGGTACGTCAGGTTAAAAAAAAAAAGTATTACCAAAAATCATTGAAATCTTTATAAAACAAAAAATTTTAAATATGAAAAAAATTGTCAATACCACCTCCATTTTGACCTATAAAATTCTGAAAGTGGTGTTTCTCTCGCTCTAACTCTTCCTTGAATAAGTCTATCGTTTTCCACTTACACCATGTCAGAAACAGCTGTCTTGGCATTCTCAAAGGATGCAAATTGTGTTCCTTTTAAATACTGCTTGAGTTTGGGGAACAAAACGAAATACAAGAGGGCAAGAGCAGGCCTGTAGAGTGGAGAGAATAAAGCCCCCGCACCCCAAATGCTCAAGAGGCAGCCCTAGCTTCCCTCAAAGGATGAGTAAGCTGTATTTTCAGGAGGTAAAAAAAGGGGCAATTTTACTGGACTTTTTCTCACCAACAACATTTTGGTTTTGTTAAAATGTCTTCATGATTGTCCGTTGAGAAAACACATCAAGGTTACCCATTTTGAATTCTAAAATGCAGTTGCCCAAACTTTTGAAGTTCCCACTGCCTTGAATTTAATTGGCCTAGCAGATCCATTCAGAAATCGGTTTTGATTGGACCTTTGGTTTTGAAAGGCCCCTGAGACTAGATATTAAAAGACTAGATATTAAGAGAGGTGTATTACTAAGAGAGCTTATCTGCAACCATCCATGGATAACAGAGACATATGTAGACATAATTTTTGAGGCTAAACCTATGCATGTATGGAGCAGAATTCTATTAAACCACATTTTGTCTTGTTGTTAGGGATTAGAATTAAAAACAGAACAATCAATAATTAAAAGCTAGAAGTTTGTTTTAACTATCTAAAGAAAGCTCTCATTGATTGGAGGGAGATTCTCAAATTCTTTTTGAAAAGATTAGAGCCAATTGAAATTATAGAACCTTTATTCAATTAATTTATGAAAAATTATTGGGAAAGTATGGTTTGTTTAATACTTTGTTACTTAAGAATTATTTGCACCATGCATTCAGTCGATACCATTTTGTGAACAAAATTTTCCAAGTGACTAATATATGACATTGTGAATTCTATTATAACATATCTATAGTTAACGTGATCTATGAATTTTGGGTTTTCTATACCAGACCAAAGAATAATTTCAATAGAAAATTTATTGTACATAATTAAAACAAAGGTAAACAATAAATAGCCCTTTAAATATATTTGTATAACAAACAAAAGTTTCACGGTGATGTCATACAGACAGTTCTTAAAATATTTTAGAAAATTGTCACCCAAACACCTGGAGTCTAAAATAAGCTATTAAATACAAGACCCAAAATCCCAGCTTTAGCAATCTGATGAAATTTTGAATATTTAAATGTACTTAAGGTATAAGTGCTAATTTTACTTCATCTCACAAAGATATCTAGAGACCTCATATGTTATTACAAAACAACCTTATTACCTTCAAAGTTATCTCCATTGCACTTAATACATTTGTCAAAACTGCAATTCCATTCTTAGAAATGTTTTAAAAACTCATCTGTTTGGATGATTGACAGCACCTCCCTCCTTTTATTTTTTTTTCTTCACCTTTTCTACATCATCGAATTGCTGTCCCTTCGTGCTCCTGTTCATTCACAGAACCAAAAAGAAGTCACACGGAGTGAGGTCGAATGAGTAAGGTGCGTGAGCAAGAGAGGCACGGTGTTTTTAGCCAAAAGCAGATGCACTGAGATGGCTGCTTCAGCAGATGCATTGTCATGGAGGCTAAAACAGTCTCCCTTCTGCCACAAATCAGACCTTTTTTGTTGCACACTTTTACACAATCTTTCAGAACCTCTAAATAGAACTCTTGAGTAACCATTTGACCTGGTAGAATGAACTCCACATATACTATCCCCCTTACACCAAAAAAACAAATGCACTGTGTCTTGATCTTTGATTTCACTTGATGAGATTTTGTGGGGTCAGATGAGGATGGTGTCTTCCACTGGCTTGACTGATATTTGTTTTCGGGGTCATAAGAATAGCATCATGTCTTCTTGCCAGTAATGTAAAAAAGGCTGGGTCACTTCAGAGTTGTTCCTTGAAAGCATGACATGTTTCCACTGGCTCTTCATCAGAACCCGGAGCACACATTTTGCAGCTATCCTTCTCATTCCCAAATCTTCCATTAAAATTCACTTCAGCAAGCTCTAGGATAGTCCAGATAACTTCCCCATATCCCCAATGGTTAGTCATCAGTCTCGAGCACAAGTCTACAATTTTGTCTACATTTCCATCCATTCAGAAAGTCCAGAGCAAGGTTTGACATCAATCAACATTTCACCTTTTTTGAGATGAGAAAACCACTCATACACTTTTTCCCTTACTGCTGTCCTGGTAAGCTGTTTTCAACGTCACAAGTTTCTGCAGTATTTTTCTCAAGTAGGAAACAAGTTTCTGCAGCATTTTTCCCAAGTAGGAAACACAATTTCACAGCCACATGCTGTTCACTTAAATCAGCCATCATAGAAAATGACGTTCAAAATAACCTGCTTTTATGAAAAAATTCACTGTGACCAGAGAGAACCTTCCCAGGTGATGCCACTGGGTGCACTAACTCTGAAGAAGTTGCTGGATGCTGGCCTAGGGGGGAAATGTGTACTACAAAAGCTCCACCCAGCACAGCATTTTGGGGGGAGGGGGGTGCTGGGGGGAAAGAGGGTAACCCCGCATAACTCCAACAATGTTTTGCTTACATTAATTATGCCTTCAGTATCTGACAATGCTTTAAAGCTATAAGTAAGATTTCCAATGACTCCTTCCAAGCAAGTCCTTCTTTGTTGTCTTTTTTTAATCTGGAAACTCTCCTGAAACCTATTATCTGTAGGTGACCCTACTGGTATTTTAAATACCAGTGACATAGCTTCTAGCATAACAGCAACACCCAAGTCACCTCAGTAAAACAAACTGACAGACAAGGGGTCGATCTCCTTGAGTTGACTTTTTCAAAAGCACTAACTATATCACTTCATCATGATTGACTTTATTTAAGGTTCTCTGGTACTGGAGGGGTGTTCGGTGTTGGGCTGCTAACCGCAAGGTAGGCAGTTTGAAACCACCAGCTGATTTATGAAATATGTGCCTTTCTAGTCCTATAAAAAATGTCAGTCTCAAAATCCCACAGATGCAGTTGTGTCTTGTCCTATGGGTTCATTCAGAGTCAGAATTGACTTGATGGAAGTGAGTTTGGGTCTTTTGGTTAGTACTCATCTGTCAGTTTTGCCATTCTATGACGACTTGTGGGTTGCTGTGGTGCTAGATGGTATACCACTGATATTACAAATACCAACAGGGTCAAATATCATTAATAGGTTTCAATAGAACTTCTAAAGTGTTTTCCTAAAAGGAATAGGAAGCCCAGTTCTGAGGGATGAGTGACTGTATAGATAATGCTATAACATTGTCTAATACAGTGACAGAAGTTGAGTCCCTCAGGATGAAATACACTCAAAATATTGCTTGGGGACGAACTTTCCCTTTAAAGTAGGCTTGACCCCAATGACACCAATGGAGTAGTACTTTCAGGCCCTTCATTTGCTGGGATGTAACGGCTGCAAAGGTCGTTTTATACTTGGGATGTGGAATGTAAAAATTATGAATCATTATCATAAAATATCAAACACAGATACAAAACAATAGCAAAGGGATAAATAGGGGGGTTCTATTTAAATTTAAATTTCAAGTTCTTGGCCATTCAGCAGTCTTTGTTGTCTTCTTGCTTTATTATTTGAATGGCTTATCATTTCAGATGAAGAACAAACTAATTTATTGTAAATAGAATCCAATGAATTTCTGAGTAGTCAAAAATATATATTTTTGTAATTCAAAACAATATATTTCACAAATAATGGCATTTTGAGAACCTTTTATTTTGTGTCTTCCTATGACTGGAGAAGCTCTGCTCTTCATACAACATTGTATTCCTTTTCCATAAAGACAATGGAACCCCTAGGATGCCCATGGGCACTGCAACCCCTCGTGGTTCTGTCCGAATGAGAACATTATTAAATAAGGACAGGTGGCATTACAAGTTTTCCCATGCCTAAAATTAATATCAATTTAGTATATGCTAAAATGTATTTCCCAAATTATAACATCTGGAGGTCCCTATTATGAACTTCTGTTTTCCTAATCAGGTTCAACATATTTGTCACATACTAAAATATATTTATGCCCTATAAATTATATATGAAGTTGCAATTTATAGTATCCAAAACACAGTTTCTTAATTAATGAAGCTATTTTATAACTTAGTGTATACATTATTAACTCCTTGCAAGTTATAATTAGTTATCCCCTGCTGTGTTATTTTTTTTCTTTTCATTTGCACTGTAGGTATCAGAGGAATATTCTCTTCATTCTATGCAAAAATAGGTTATACTTTCTAGTTTAAGAACTTCACATTTACTTTTATGAGTTTGGGATAAGCTGGCACTGTTTTAATTTACAATATCTTATCAGTGTGATCCATTTTTCTCTCCTAATATTAATTCTGATTATTTTTGCTTATATTTGTACAAGAGTTCCTAAAAAACACTTGCAAACATTCTTTTCCATTCATTCTCCAAGTAGTTCCACTAATGCCACACTTTGTTCTCCAAAAACCTTTAAAGATACTGAAAAATCTAAATATGTTGTGTATATTTTCAGAATCTCTGTTTCAAGGTTCTCTGTAATTTCCCCCAGAATATATTTTCTTGGTTTTTATCATCTATATCTTTTCCTTCCTTGTAATATTTGCCACTCTTCAATCAAAA